AAAAAAAAAACACACATCATAGTAAAACCAATACCTTCTCAGCTTCGCATCGAAGCTAAAATTATCAATTGAATAATGATCTACGATTTTAGCTTAAAATACAATTACCTAATAGACTTGAATAACAAATTAATATATTTTTTCAATATTTATTTAATATTTATACTTTCTTTTCTAATGATAATTTTTTTGTATTTTTCTTTTTTGTAAAAAAATTTATTTAAAATAACTCGCAATATAACTCAGTCATTTAAGGAATTAGGTGTGTCGCATACAATATAGGTTCGATTATCTATGTTATAAATTAATAATCTTTATCCAAGGTAAATTATTTTACTATAGTGTTTTTTTTATCTATAATTACATACATAATTTTATAATTATGGAATAGATATTTAAATTAAAAATATAAATAAAACTGTAATTGACTTAAATACGATAAATTATTATTATACTTAAAATTTTATAATTAAAAGTATCCTTTTGAACTCAATTATGTTTTTAAGCTCAATATTCTAACATCGAACTACTAATTTTTTATCATAAATGCTTTTTCTTTTTGTGTTTTAATAGTAGAGACCGCTTTACATAGAGTTCATTTTGTAAAAAATTATGTTAACTTTAAAAGCTAAAGTAAAATAACGTTAGTCATCCAGAAGGAATTTAAAAAGCTTATAGGTAATAGAAGTTTCTAACTAGAGTAAATTTAGTTCTAAGGAAAAGGGCTATTAATATAAAAATATAGAAGCAAGTGTTTATGACATATTTTACACAGGGTCGACAACTGATTCTTTTCATATTATTGTTATTTAAATTCATCTACATTCCCTTTATAAGCAAACGGGGCGTGCCCAGATGCTCCGCCCATTATCATACAACCCTCCACGACTCACTATTAAACTTCTCTCATGTTATTATTGTATAAACAGTTTTTTTTTGAGACATTAAACACACAAGAATATATACCAATACAATAAAATATCTCAACGTTCAAATAAGAATAACAATTTAATTATTGTATTAATAAGACAATTTTCTGTTGAATGAATTGTATAACATAAAAGTTTTTGTAATAAAAATACTTAGTCGCCAGGTACACTCGATGCTAACGTTCCAATGACCTTTTAATTTGCTCATCAAAATATTTTTCTCTACTTTTATGTAAATAAGTCTTTACTTAATAATTTTTGTTACTTAACATTTTAGTGTCATCTAGGGTATATGCACTCAGTATACTTCCCATAGATGCTTTCCCTTAACTGTATACCAAATTAAATTCATCATTTATACGTCCAAAAAAAAAAAAAAATTAAAACTTTAAGGTTATTACTAATTTTTTTTATTTATATTTTACGCATTGGCAAATTTTTCAACAGTCTAAAAATAAATGGCTTGAAAAAATATTACATATTATTTGTAAGTTTACTGTAGTGGTTTGTAAAGAATAAAAGGTGTTTTTTGGTGAGATCTTTTAATAGTCGGTTATTAGTCAGTGTGAACTGCAGGTGATACGCAATGTGTTTATTCACACAGGTTAGTCGGATGTCGGACTATTAATCATAACACTTAATAATAATTGTAATAACAACCGTACTAATGCAGGCATCGGGGAATGGACCACTTAAAAGGTTGCGTGTTTGCTAATTCATTAGTGCTCATAAAAACATATTGTACGTTTTTCTCACCTTGTTTCAACCACCCCCGCAGAGTTAACTGCTTTCAAATGTAATTTTATATTTTAAGTGCTATCGTACTCATAAAAGAATAGCGTTAGCAAATTTTAATTAAATCAACACAAAATGATTAAAACATTTAATTTTTTTAAAATATTAAGATTATATTTCCTTATTTCAGGACCGTAGTAAGAGGGCGAAAGGTACCTAGGCTCCGATCGCAACAATTTAGAAATTATAAAAATATATTTTAAATAAAGTCAATAATTATAAACATCTATATGTAACTATAGATGTATATTAAATGTAACTAATGGTCATAGCATCTAAAATTGTAAATATAATAAAAAAATAACTCTTTCAATTTAACTTTTGAAAATGTTCCGGAAATACTGACACTTTTATATATACCTTAAATTAAAGCTAATTTAATATACTTTATTATGAAAAAAACTCAGCACAGTGGGGTCGCGGCACAGTAGGGACGTGCCATAGTTGGGTCCAGTATAGATGATATCTGACAGTGATTAAAATCGTATCATAAAAAACGTTTCGAAGCAAATCTATAGATAGTGTTTAATTTTAAAAAATTGGTGAATTATTCCAAAAGCTACATGATCTCCTATTGCCTTATTTATATTCTGATTGCAAGTTTTATGATTTATAAGTGTAATATATGAATATATATTTATAATATATGAATATAAAAAGGGATATGGTCCGATTTTATAAAAATGTATGTCGGACGAAAAGGACTTGTATAAAGTACTTATAAAAAAAATTATTTATTCATACATTTTTCAAAATGTTAAAGCAATATAAATTTGAAAAATAAGATATGAAATAAAAATGTTAACACAAAATTACCATGTTTTTAACTACGGTGGCTATTTACATATAAAAAATTAGGTGCTGGGACAAACTTTTTAACTTATAATAAATAATATACCATTTAATTTAGCATATGTTAACATTAACATAACATATGTTTGAAGATCGGAGTATTTTCGGAACATTTTCAAAAGTATAAAATGTTAAATTTTTGTATACAATTTGCTATTTTGAACCCCTTTCAAAGCTAAAAACATAGGAATATATGCAATCTTGTTATATTGTAAATGAAAAATAAATTACTCTGAAACCCATTACTTTTTATTTTGCGCTATGGCATAAAAAAATGGGGGAGATTAAATTGATTTTTCTCTTATCTTAATTTTTTTTCATATAAAATTTGGAAGTTACAGCAATTTTTAAGGACTAAGCCTTTGTCATAATTTATACCTATTAATTAACATATTAATTAAAATTCATTTGAAACAACGAAAACAAAAAAAAAAACTTTTATTATGCATGCATACCTGAGTAGGAAACGTGTAAAAATACGTTTTTTTTTGCATTTTTTTTTTATTTAATGCTTAAAAATTTATTTGAATATATAAAATATGCATTTAGCATACAATGTGATCATTTTTTTATATCTAGGTGGGAGGTAGAGTATGACCAAAAAATGACTAGTGATAAAAAATAATTTATATTTTATAAGCTAATTAAGTATGTATTTTGTCATTTAAAAAATTAAGTCAACATCCCTATATGTTAAAAGGGATGATTCTAAAAAGTAATTAATAGCTGATAAATCAAGAATTATATGTAACTACTCAATGAAATCAAAAATTGTTTTTCCAATATTGTCTTTATTTTGTGAGTAATTGAGTGTTTTATGATATACCGATTACGCTGTATATCGTTCATTAAAAACCGTTTGGATACTACATTAATTCGCTTGTCCGTAACATGTGTAGCTATATGCAAAACTAAATATTATCTAAAATAAAGTGCTTTAGAAACTCAAACATTTACAAACTTCCGGAAAATTATCGATTGCGATAAATGTCATTATATTTCTAATAATAAACATATTTTTGTATTTTAATCACGACTTGAAAATATTCAATATTTTACTGAATTTCATTAAATTTCTCAAAATGTATAACTAATATTTCATAAAAAAATGTATGTTAAAATTTTAAGTTTTAAAATTGGAGGAAAATTAATACACTATGTATATTAGCACACGCCTAATAACTGCCTGTCCTTATAAATTTTTGACTCAACATAAAATATGTAAACATAGACTTAATTAATTTATATATTGAAATATACCTCCCGACCTATATTGAAACATTATTTTTGACCTTTTTTAATATTCTATAAGGAAGTCGTTCGTGTTATTTAACTGGTTGTTGGGGCGATTTATTGATATAATCAGTAGAATACAGCGTAATGATGTCGATGTCGAATTGTTAATAAGATGTACTCTACCTACTAAAAAATCGATGCGTATGAGTCGCATATTTATGTTCCTATTCGTAGTTCAGCGTAGGTCATTTCTGCAAATGCGAAGCGTGATCGGTTGTAAATAGACACATTTATTATTAGTTATTCGTTGGTACTAAGCATTGATAAATATTCTGAGAATTTTAAATATGGGGAATAACGATAACCTATTTGAAGTTGTTATCTCTGGAGTGGGAGGAAAATTTCCAAAATCAGAAAATATTGAGGAACTCCAATTAAATTTGAATAATAAAGTGAACATGGTAACAGATGACGATTGCAGATGGTCTAAAGGTATGTAATGTGCTAATCTATCAAGACATTATTTTTATGATTTAAATTCACTAAATTTTAGTTTTACTAAATGTATTTGGACCTACGGTTTATGGAATAAATATTCATTACGGTTAAAAAAGTCCATTTCTCTAAACATTAAATTTTAAAATAATTAAAATTGACAAATTTACAATAAGTGTATTATATGTATAAGTAAAAGCGCCATTTAAAAATAATCAATTGTATTCTATACTTATGATTCTTATGAATGCATTTATAAGTCAAGATATACATTTTTATAATATTAAAAAATTAAGATGTTATAAATGAAAAACTCTTGGGCCACCATAGAAAAAATCTACAGCCTTGTATATTTAAAATAATAATTTCACTAAAAATGTTAATACAATACAATAAAAGTTATCAAACATAAAATCAAAAAACAAGTGTACATTGTTTTACAAACATATTATATTGTTTTATAAAAACGTTCTAATTTATCATGGAGGTAGTAAAATAATTTTTTTTGCTTTTAGCTTCGATATGAAGCTGAGAAGGTATTAATTTTACCATGATGTGTTTTTTTCTGTCTGTCGCCACTTTTTCTCAGCTCTCACTGGACCGATTTCTTTAAACAATACGTCAAAAGATCAAAAATCGTATCTAGTTGAAGACATTATCTTTAAAAGTTGGAAAAAAAATCTCTCGTTCCCTGTATATGGGGGAAATCTCCAAAAAAAATTACAATTTTGAAAATCGATAAATTTATTAAAATATCTTACACTGACTTTCATGAATATTATATAATTTAATTGATATAGAATAAAAATTTAAACTTTAAATTAAAATTGTTTTCCTTTTTTTAAATTGAAAAAAGTACCTTTAAAAATTGAATTTACTTAAATTGTCAATATTACCTATAGATTAAAGCGACGAACAGTTGCCGATCGGTAACACTTAAATATATCACGCCTAAGCGTACCCTAAGGTACGAGATTCGAATTCACCTGTAGCAATTCATTTTTTACATTTTTTCCTTAATTATTTTTGAGTTGGAAAAAAAATTTCAAATTATTTGATTTTTATCTCATTTAAATTCAATAACCAATAATTATCAAGAATTCCATCACTGTAGTCTCCCCTCATGAAAAGAAATTTCTTATTTATTTTAATGCTATTTTACTATTTGGTTTTATTTGTGGCTGTGATTTATTTTTCAAATCCTCACTTAACCTACTTTTTTTAACGATACGTCAAATGATTATAATTCGTATCTAATTAAAGATATTACCTTCAAAAATTGAAAAAAATCCCTTAATCAAATAAAAAGTAGCTTTACTATATTTATCCATATAAACTATAAAAATCATCAATTTCTAATAATTTTAAAGTATTCATTGTCGAATTAGATTTGATACGTTAAAAGTATTGAACTACAAAAGTAAATAATTTTACTTTGTAATTAATTAATTTTTTAACTCTAATTGTATGCGCAACTACTAATCAATAATATTCCAAATTTTTTTGTAACATGTTGTTATATAAATCATATATCTAAAAAGAATATTATATTTAGTTTCACCTGAATTTAACAATGGATTTTTATAATAATCAAATTTTATAATATGCTCAATTGAGTCCATCTTTTTAACAATTTTTTTTTGATTGGTTATTTTAGTTAAAGTAAATCATTAAAGTTAATTCAGTTAATATTTCAATTGTAGAATCTTTTTAAACACCAAAAGATACTAGGAAATGATTACTATTATTTCTATTTAAGTTATCTATTACGATAAAAATCCAAAAAAATATTGATCTTTCCCGATAAATTTACTGTAAATAGTAATTATAAAATTTCCTGACTGCATATTAATCTTAACAATACAATTTTTTTCTATTTAATGATGGCAATTTCAAACTTGCTAGTTGAGCTAAAAGTTATGGTTAAATTAATTCATTTTATTATAAACTATCCTAAAGACACAAATTTAAAGAACTTTAAAAGAGTGATCCGTTCTTTTAAGAGGAGGATAGAAAAATCTGTGACCTTTTCCTCATCTTTAATCATTTAATTAAGTAATTTAAAATTTAAAACAATTCGAGAAAGTGTAATAATTTTTGTAAACATCTTTCATTTAATTATATCAGACTTAAAACATTTTACTATAAACATTTCAGCATTTTTGAAAATTATTATAAAACTATAAAAGAAATCCTAGCTAAACTAGGACCTTAATTAAAATCCTCTAAATTTATTTTTAATAAAAATAGTCAGTTTTTCAAAATCAGAAGCAATAATTACGTTTTTGAATATACAAAGTGATCCAAATATATACACGTTATAATATTGAATATATAGAGTACAATTTTTTTCTTTTTATTGATAGCAATTTCAAACATGCAAGTTGAGCTAAAAGTTATGGCGATAAATTTATTTATTTATTATATAAACTTTCACTTTAAAGGACAAAGAAAAGTAGGTTAAAAATGATTAATTCTAACATATTACAAATCAAAATCAATAATAATTTGAAAACAATTAATTATAAAAATTATGTATTATATTTTTAAATCTAAGAATTACTAATCTGCATACAATTAAGGAAATAGAAAATGATGTAGCTTTTGTAATAATCCACCAATTTTTTAAAACGAAACACAGATTTGCATCGATGCATTTTTTATGATAATGATTTTAATCGCTCTCAGATTAAATCTATACTGGACCCAACTATGACACATTTCCACTGTGCTGGGATTTTTAAAACGAATTTTAATTTATGAAGGATTTACTAAACTTTTTCTTAATCAAAATGTATAGAGGGATACCGAACAAGTTCGATCGGTTATGATAACCGATCGAACTTGTGATATATGATATTGCGAATCTGTGTCAATTTTTATATTTTGATGATCTTTATAAGGACAATAATTTAAGAAATAATTATAGAAAACTTCTATTTTTATGTGCCATTTGTTAATGTAAAGAAAACACCTAATAAAAAACAATTATTGTTAACATCAAACAAAAATATCATTTTAATATATTTTCACAGATAATATTGAAAATATCGTTCTAGTCTATGACTTAATATAATATTTATATTAATACTCTTATAATTATAAAATAGACATTGCTTTAAAAATTTTAAAATATAGATAGTTAAATTATTTTTATTAAAATCATGATTACTGCATGAAATTATTATAAATTTTATTTTATATTAACGTTTTAGATGATTGGCCAGGAGTACCACCAGCAATTGGTAAAGTATCAGTAGCACAAAAACTAGATGACACCTTTATGGGAATCAATTCTAGAATCGTAAAAGCAATGGATCCTTTGACTAGATGTCTATTAGAAAGGTCTTATGAAGCAATTATAGATGCAGGTATTGATTTTAAAAATTCAATTTTTATATCATATGAATTTAAAAATATAAATAACATAAACTTTTTATATTTTTTAAATTTGATTAGGATTGAATCCAAGTCAATTAAATGGATCACAAATTTCTGTATATACAGCATCATGTGTAAGTGATAGTGAAGCAGTGGGTTGTGATGAAAAATTGACTACTCCCTATTGGCTATTAGCACATGTTAGAGCTTTACTGGCGAATCGGATTTCAAACATTTTAAATTTGCACGGTCCTAGTTACAATATAGATTCATCTTGGATTGGAGGTATAGAAGTCTTAAAACAAGCTGCTAACGATATTGCAAAAGGTAGAACTGAAGCCGCATTGGTCGGTGTCACTAATATAATTTGGTATCCAGACATGGCAAAAAATTGGATAGGATTAAATAAACTCAGTGAAGATGGTCTTTGCAGATCATTCGATGAAAATGGTACAATCATTTAATTATTTTTACGATAATCGGTATATTTGAAATAACATATTGAAATTTTTAGCTAGTGGTTATGGCCGTAGTGAAGGTGTGGTTGTATTATTTCTTCAACGTTCAAATGAAGCTTTGCGTTCGTATGGCACTGTAGTACACGTAAATGCTCGCGTATGCATGGAAAAAGCCTTGAATTTAATCAAACCTACCGATGATTCTTTAAGAGATTTTTATAACGAATTTTATAAAAGCTGTGAAGTATCACCAAAAAATATTTCATTTTTGGAAGCAGATGGTTCTGGTTGCAAGGTAAATTATTTTTTACTTGTAGTCTGTGATTATGTGGCGAAACTTAACAAATTAAATAACTTATTAATAGAGTAATCCAACGAACAGTGACGCACCCAGTTGATAAGTCTGGTAGCCCCAGGCCGGCTTTAGGTATGGGTCACCCAGGCAACCGCTCAGGGTGTCGAATTTCCGGGGGTGAAATTTTTTCATAAGAAATATAATATAATGGCTTAACCGTTTCAAAATTATTAAAATTTATATAATTATTTTCTACTTGGTAATTATTCTATATTTTTAAATAGTTAAAATTTTTAGGTGAATAATCATTATTTCATTGCTAAATTAAAGTATTGTTATTAATTTAATGTCTAATAAAAACCTTTTTTATTTTTATTAAATTAAAATTAATATTTGTATAAGTAAAACTTTCTTAGTTTTATTTAATTTAGTATTATGATGAAATGGAGCTTAAAGTAGCGTCAGATATCTTTTGTGGTGATCAAAGAACTGATTCTTTACCAATAGGATCTATTAAAAGTAACTTAGGACACTGTGAGGCAGCATCTAGTTTAGTATCGATTGTAAAAGCGTTAATAACATTAGACACTGGTATAATACCGCCAAATATTAACTATCAGTCTTGTAATCAGAATATTGATGCTCTTAAAATGAATAAAATGGAGGTAAGTATATTATTTTAAAGAAATATATCGTAATTTATTGTTAATATTCTACAGGTTGTTACTAAGCCGACAAAGCTAGATGGTCCATTTGTTGCAACTACTACTTTAGGTATGCCGTCATCTATCGGTCATGTTTTACTAAAACAACATTCAAAAAAAAAAAGAAAAATTCAATCTGGTCCTAGTCAAAGACTAGTTCTATTGTCATCTAGAAATGAAAAAGGTATCGCCGATGCTATTGATCGAATAAAAGTTTTACCCAGAGATGATGAACATTTAGGACTTATTCAAAACGTTTTCCGTGAAAATATAGTTGGTTACTTCTATAGAGGTTATGTGACATTAGATTTTGAGACAACACCTTCATTTGGTTATCAAGTAATTTACAAAATTTAATTTTATACAAAAATTATAAACGGGTCGTTCTGAGGGCGGCGTGGAGGAGTATATCTTCTCACTCGTAAGACTTCTTTTTTAGTACGCAATTTATTATCTATGAAGTTACTACAGATATAAAAATAAAAACTTACTAATTAATTTTAAAAAAATGTATTCAGTTGATAAAATTAATTTTTATTCGGGACGACCTATTAAATAAATAATAAACTATGTTTTAGGAAACTAGCGAGATTAACCGACCTGTATGGTTTGTTTTTGGTGGAATGGGTTCTCAATGGCCAGGTATGGCATCTGACCTTATGCAAATACCTTGTTTTGCAAATAGTATAAAACGCTGTGATAAAATCATTAAATCAATTGGATACGATATAATTGATATACTTACAAACCCAAATCCAGAAATTCTTCAATCGAAACCAGTAATTTCATTTTTAGCTATTACAACAATGCAAGTAAGTAATAAGCGTTTAAAACATTAAATAACATATGATATTAGGTTTAGTCTTTGTAACATTTAACACAGTCAATGACTTATATCTGTACAACAGCGGTAAACTATCTCCAGTCATATTTTTTTGTAAATGAAGTGAGACGTTTTTTGAATGATCATTTTAAAAATAGTCTTAACTCATTTTTGAAAAATATATGACTTGGCATAGTTTACATCTAGTGAATAGATATTCTGAATAATAATAAGAAAATACAATGTTCCTTTCATTCGTGTATAAATATTTCACTATTTAATATCTGTTGTATATAAGTAATCTGAACATTTATTAGAAGGATAAAGTAATATATTTAAAGTGATATTTGTTTAAAGTAATATATTACAATAAACCACTTTAAACATACTTTATTTTTTTTTTATTTTTTTTTTTTTTAGATAGCATTTGTAGACTTATTAGCAGAAATTGGTATACACCCTGCTGGCATGCTTGGCCATTCACTTGGTGAAAATGGTTGTGCGTACGCTGATAATTGTTTTGATACATATGGTGCCTTAATGGCTGCTTATGGGAGAGGAAAAGTAGCTGAGTTTTTAAAACCCGAGGCAGGCTTAATGGCAGCGGTAGGTAAGTGAAATATTTTCTGGCAAAAAATATGTTTCACGTAATTATCTAAATATATAAATCATTTTATAGCAAAACTACAAAATGCACTTTTTTAATTTTGAAAAGACGTCTGAAATATCTTGAGTCACTTATCTATCTATTTCCAAAGCTAACTTTTTTATTTTTAAATCATATAATTATTTTTAAAATAAGCGTTTAAAATATTTTAGTAAAATTTAAGTTATAATTTGATTCCTATCATTTTTTCGAACAGGTTTAAACTACAAAGACTTTACGGATTTACCACCAAATATAGACATTGGATGTCATAATTCAGAAGGCAATGTTACTCTGTCTGGTCCAATTAATGATATGAAAAATTATTTAGATATTTTAAAAAAAAGAAATGTATTTGTGAAAGAAGTTAATTCAAATGGTATTGCATATCATTCTAGAATGGTTTATCGACAAGCAGAATTTGTTAAAAAATTTATAGAAAAAGTAACTTTAACCATAATAATATGTACTGCTATCTTTACATAATTTTTTATGTTTTGTTTTTGTAGGCTGTACCTAATCCTAAACAAAGATCTTCCAAATGGGTATCTACTTCAATACCCGAATCTAATTGGAGTAGTGATTTAGCACAATGGAGTTCTGGAGAATATCATGCAAACAACTTTAAAAGTACAGTTTTGTTTTCAGAAGGGTGTAAAAAAGTACCCAAAAATGTTATAGTAATTGAAATAGCACCTCATGGTCTATTTCAAGGAATTTTAAAATCAGAACTTGACAAATCGTGTAAAATTGTATCTCTTGCTAAACGAGGGAGTAAAAGTCCATTAAAACATTTTTTAAACATTATCGGTGAACTTTATTCAAGCGGTCTTCAGATTAATTTAAATTCAATATATCCACAGCCAAAATTTCCAGTTTCAAGAGGCACGCCTAGTTTAGCTCCTCTTGTTTCATGGAACCACGATGAAACTTGGCCAATTAATACACATTATGATCCGGTAAGTTTTATTTCTATAGTTTTGTTTATTTACATAATTATTTTGTTGTGTAAATGTTATTGTACGTGTTTTTAGTTTGATTTGAATATAGTAAACATATGTTTGCATGATAAAAAACAAAGACACTTTTTGGGACATGAAATCAACAAATTTGCCGTAGTACCATCATCTTTTATCATCGTATGTAAAATTTATTCTAAAAAAATTGCATATAATGTTTAAAAAAAAATATTGTTCTAGACAGAAGTACTACACGAATTAGAAAAAAAACTGACATTAACATTAAAATCGTCTCAAATAATTTTTGAAGAGGTTTTGGTTCATTTACCTTTGATAGTTTCTGCAAGTGGTAAGATAATAAAAAATTCATAATTCTTTTAAAAATATTTAAATAATATTTTATTTTAGAGTCCCAAAGTTTTTCTTGCAAAATTAGAAATAGTAATTTATTTGAAGTAATTAAATCACAAAATATACTTATGTCTGGGAAAATATCGTATAACGATGAAAACCAGCTAATTAGTCCAGAACCTCCTTCTATATGTGAAGTTCACCCAACAGATGAATGGGTACATGATGATGAAATTTATAGTGTATTTATGGAAAACGATATTAAAATTTCAAATCCTTATGATACAATTCAAAAAATTCTTATTCAAGATAGAGGTAATTTTTTTTACATTACAAATATGCATATTTAATTATTAAACAAGTTATTAACTTTTAGGATATCTAGCAAAAGTTACTTGGTCACACAATTTAAACGTGAATTTAAATACAATGATGCAAATTAAGATGTTTTTTGATTTGAGTAAATGTAGTGGAAATCCTTTACTTCCTTTTTGGATTAGGAATCTTATTATCGATAAAAAACAAATGTTGACATTTGCGGAAGGATCTCTAGTTTACGTGAGGTTTGATTTTCGGACTAATGTTATTAGAGGACCTGGTATAGAAATTGAAGATTTTAAAACAACTGTTTTTCAAGAAGTTTGTTCTCCATCCATAGATTTAAGGTTGCAAAAAGTCCAGTTTATAAGTCAGCCAAACCCTAATATACAAGTAAAATATCAATTTTAATTAAAAATTCAATGGTAAAAATGTAATCTTAAATTATATATTATAGAATTTAATCCAAATGCTAAGTCTTTGTTTACAAACCGTAAAAAATTGTTGCTATAAAAATCCAAATTTAAAATTACAAATCAAAATAAATGATGCCAAATTTATTGTACTACTAAAAAAATTATACGAAATTCAACCATATCTAAAGGTAGTCATTTATTCGTTTTTTTTTTTTACTGTATAGATTAATAAATATTACCAAAATTGTTTTACAAATATTACAGGAAGATTTCAACGATTACACTTATTCATCATTAACTAATAATAGGGAAAATAAAGGCTTATTATTAATAACTGAAAATTTTGACTCATATTTGAAAAAAGATGTTGAGAATTGTTTTGGAAGAGTTTTTGTTTTAACAAAAACTTTGATTAAAGACGAGGAATATACAACAATTTTTCAGAAAGATTTCGACAGTTCAATTTATTATTTAATTACTCAAAAATTTAAATCAGGTAATCAAGTTATGCAATTTTCCACTGAACAAAATACTTGGAAGAAATGTTTATCACATGGATTAACTTTCATGGCTGATAGTGATGTAGCTCCACTTATAATTATTAAAACAAATTCTGAATGTCCTATAAAAATATCAAAAGAAATCGAAGATATTGATACCAAACAACAATTCCGGTATTTTAATATTGAATAATTTATTAAATTTCAAAAACATTTCAAATCAACTCAAGTATATCTTTTATTTTAATAGGTATATCATACTTTTAAAAAATTCACCATTTTTTGACATGACAAATACTTTCTTTAGTGATCAAGTGTTTAAAGGATTAAGACAGAATATTTTAAGAGATAACAACTGGGGAAACTACATGATTCTTCCTTGCATTGAAAATAAAACAACTTCAAATAACTTCGAAATTTTACCTTGCACGTATAATAACATTATTAACCTAGAGTAAGTTATGTTTTTTTTTGATAAAATTAAAAGTTTATATTTTTGACAGTATTTGGTAAAAAAAATTCTAAAACGATTATTTTTTAGGGATATAAAAATAAAGTATATAAGTCATATAGAAATCAACAAAATAGTAAGGATTTTGTAGACTAATTGAATAATTTATTTAATATATTTTGAAACGTATGCTCAATTTATAGTGTAAAAATACATGTTTTCAATATTCTGGTATTGATAAAAAAGGGAATAAAGTGATGGGTATACTGAGGAATTCCAAAACATCAAACCAACTCGAAATTGATGATGTGTTACAATGGGTGGTAAAACCAGAATGGTCTTTGGATGAATCAACTAAATTACCACTTACATATTCAATTGTAAATATTGAATATATATTAATTATTTCATATTTCTTATAATAGATATATTTTAGGCCTACTATTACTTGGCTATTAAGTATTCTGTTAAATCTGGTGATAATGTACTTATACATGATGCAAGTTCAACTCTTGGACAAGCATTTATAAGAATAGCACTAAGCTTTGGCTGTAATTTATACCTTACAACATACAATAATGAACAAAATAAATTTCTCCAAAATCTCTTTCCACAAGTATAAAATATATTAGTATAAAATTTATTGCATTATTTTATCATAATTAATTAAAAATTTACTATTATTTGTGTTTTGTAAATTTATTAGTTAAATGTCAATAATATTCTACAAATAAAAAATGGTAAATTTGAAATCGATCTGAAGAGACAAACAAAAAGTATAGGATGTAAAGTAGTTGTACATACTTTGCCTACTAAATATCTTTTAGCATCATTAAAATGCCTAGAAACGTTTGGTATATTTGTACATATTGGCACACAAGATATTAACGTAGATACAAAATTTGGTAAGGATTAATGGTAACAATTTTTAAAAAAAGAATTTTTCTTAAGTTAATATAATTAAACAATTCTAAATAGGAATGTCTCCATTTTTGAAAAGTATCGCCTTATACGGTGTAAAAGATTTTTCGCATGTATTAAACTCTACGCATGAAGTAAAACAACAATTGAAAAAACTTGTCCAAAATGGTATTTGTAATAATATTGTGTGTAAATTAGACGATCATTTTTCCGTGGGCAATTCGTGTTCTGATAGGTATGAAATAACTATTAAAGTATATAATATAATATATATATATATATATATATAGATTTTTTTTTTTTTATATTGTTAACTTTTTTTAGTATCGAATTTAAAGCCCAAAAATCAGTTTTACCCATAATATCTAAAAATACCAACGAATCATTTGTGGAAGAAAATAAATTATATATTATAATTGGTCCTCCATCACATATTTGGCTAAAGACTGTTAATTGGTTATTAAGCCGTGACGTAAAGAAACTGATATTTATTATTGACGGAACATCTACAATATTGCGAAAAAGTCAAAGAATTATTTATTCATTAATTCAACAATATTCCGATGTATCATTTATCATCACTTCAGGCGAGCGCTTATGTACTCGAAATAGAGGAGAAGAATTAATTAGAGAATTTTCAACTTATTCTAAAGTTTCAGCAATTTTTTGTATAGAAATGGTAAATCTAGTAATACCCCATTGCAAATTTTGATTTTAATTTTAAAATGAAAAACTAAATATTTTTATTTTGTAGAGTAAAGTTAAGTTAACAACTATTGATACTATATGTAAAAAAGTTATACCTGATTTAAAGCATTTCATTTGCATGCAAAGTGATGCTTATGCAATGGAGGTTTGCGAGTCCAGAAATTGTATGAAAACGAATTGCATAAATTTACAGCTAGATAAATCTATGAAAAAGCCAGAGAAAGTATTTAATCATCTGGAAGATATACTTAAAAGAACAGAGGGTTATCAGCCAATTGAAATTAAAGTCTGTGACTCATCTATATTAGAGCACAAGCATGGTTTGTTTTTAAACATTTAACTTACGTTTTTAAATACCCTACTATACAGGTGTTTTTTAACATTTCTCTCGACGTAATAATTGTGTTAAGAAAATTATTTTTTGTTTCATATATTTCTTGATTTATCAATTATTAAGTGTTTTTTAATTCATTCCTAATACCTTATAACGGCATCGACTTCATATTTTTAAATTTCAACATACATATTAAACTAGCTTATAATAAAAAAAATTATCTAATTAAGATAATGAATGGTTGGAACAGTTTTTGAACGAGTACTTCGGAAGTTATTAACATTTTTAAATATAGATGGTGTAAGAGTAATGCGTAATGATAAAAAGCATAACCCGCACCACACCTCCACTCTATATTTATAAATACAAGTAATTTCCGAAGTTGTGAAGAGCTGGATTTAATCAAATCTCTTGGACCTATAATAGGGACAAAGTTTGATTTATATGTATACAAATTTAGTAAGTAGTGGGAAATTTAGTTGGCTAAGTATTAGCACGAAAAAATATTCCATAAATTAGACATATAATAATTTTTATAGGATTTCAAAAAACGATAAAAAAAAATTGGTTTGATAAAACCGTACTCATAGTGATTTGGTAAATTCGGTGAATAATCATATAATAAAAGAAGTAAAAATACAATTTTGAGTTTGCAAAAACTAATGTAAATTTAATATCTCATAGTGAAAATTACTGATAAACTATAACGAATTATGAAAAATACTTAAAGGGTGCATTGTTTTCTATTATAGTTCAGAACCAACTGACACTACTTGGGAAGAGAGGTATGCATGTTGGCTTATAATATCAAGGAAAGCAAAACTTATGTATAACTTTTTGAGATATGCTGAGTTATCAGTCATGTGGTAACAACCAACTCTCCCCTACTAATTTAAAATTTGTTATTGACTAATCATTTTCTTAATTAAATATTTTTTTTATTATGATCTAGTTAAATATGTATGTTTCAATTTAAAAAAAAACCCATCACAGGTGGGTCGCGGCACAGTGGTGACGTGGCATAGTTGGTTCAAGCATAATGATATCTGACAGTGTTTAAATCACTATCATAAAAAACGCTTCGATGCAAATCTTTAGATAGTGTTTAATTTTAAAAGAATTGGTGGATTATTCCAAAAGCTACATGATCTGCTAGTTCCTTATTAATATCCTGATTAAGATAAAGTATATCGAATAAAAAAGGGATTATTAAAAAATATTATTTCTCATAAAAAAATTATGTTGATCCATACACTTTTCAATATGTTATAGTATTATAAAATTAAAAATGTAAAATACAAAATAAAAAATACTTAATAATTGATAAATCGAGAAATTTTGAAACATTTTTTTTGAAAATGAAAAATTTTCTTAAAATAATTTTTTTTTTTGAGAGAAATCAAGTTGCTAATACTATGTATTGATTTCTATATATTTCTATATAGATATACTTTTATAAGATAAGTTTTATTTATAGAAAGTCCGAATTTAATTGAATATCTACCTAAAAATATTGACGATTTACTCGATATCTGTGGAAATTTACCAGATTTTGCTACATTTGAAAAATGTACGTCTAATGTCGGCATAAAAGAAACCAATAGGCATGGCCTGTTACCTGTATTTATAATACCTGGATTAGGTATCAAAAGAATCCAACCACTTATAAATAAAATTATGTATCCTGTGTTTTGTGCGAAGTTTCCATCATATATCAATACTATAGAAAATTCTGCACTAAGTTTACTATGGGTGAGGTTCTTTTTTATTATTATGAATTTAAGTGTTATAAAACATAAATGTTTTCTTGTGTTTTTAGCCTTTAAGAAAAATACAGAATAATGGACCATTTAATATAGTTGGCGAAAGTTGGGGAGGTAATATTGCTGTTGAACTAGCAAAAATAATTGAAGGATTTGGTGAAAGAGTAAATTTGATCTTGTTAGATGGTTGTCCAGACGATAATAAAGAGAAATTGATAGAGCTAAATAAATCTGACTACAAATTGTTGGAAGATGTAATTGAAGCTAAAGTAACAAAGTAAATAATTTAGTTTATGGTTCTTAATTAACTAATATAATAATAATTGCAGGGAAAAATAAGTGACTCGGTAATGGTGTTAAAAAAACAACTAGATGCAATACGAGATTTTGTTCCAAGTAATACTCAGTTATCATCAAACACTATTATTGCTCAATCATCCTCTAAAGGCATATTAGATACATGTATCAACTTTGAAAAAGTACGTGATATTTTTAAACTTATAACGAATAAAACAATTTTGGTAGATAAATCTATTTATCATTTTCACTGAAATGTTTATTGGGATAAAATTTAACACCAATAAATTAATAAAAAGTAAACTATTTTTCAAATAATTTATTACCAAAGCTAATTTGTATTAGAATTACACTATTTGCAATTGAAATAGATACTCTTTACCTGATAGTAACTAGTCAAAACTTTTTAAATATTTTATCAATAAAAACGTGTATAATCAATATTAAAATAATTTTGAAAATTAGACCAAAAGTGGTATGTCTTTTTTTATTATTTTTCTTAAGTGTCCTATATGAAATTAATCCAATATAAATTTAGATTTTGAAAATTCAATACTAATTTTTTCATAGTATAATTTTATTGCTATCCTTAATGCCAAAGAAAGTGTTAAATTTGATATATTTATTTACAGATCAAACTCATTTTACCCAAAAATTGACTTTTGCCACTTACAACTTTTGCAATTAATTATGTTCCTTTAAAAGCATTTAATTTTTTTTATTTAATTATTCCGTCATATTACTGTTCAGTAATACATATAATTAGAATATTTCATCCGATAGATGTACTTAAAAAAACTTCTCAATCGTTAATTGTTTAAATGAATACAATATGCAAACTAATATATTAAATTACAGAAATATAGTCACGTTAACGAAGTAAATCATAAAAAATATTATGAATTTAATTAAAAATATCCACATGTTTGCTATGAAATGTTTTATTACTTTAACCTAACATTAAATAAATATTAAAATAAAATACTATGTCTACAATTAAATTCAATTTAGAAAATAATAATAAATTTTCTTTATTTTTTAGCAACATTGTGGAGAACTTACCGTTCATATTTCTAACGATGTATCGTATAATGAATTTATTAGTAGTTTGGAAATAGCTAAGATTATAAACGAAAACGCCTATTTCAAATGGTAAATCGTCGAAATAATTTAAGTGTTATAAAATATGTTTACTTATTAATAATATTTAATTAAAGTAATATACAGCTCATAAAAGTATAAAATTATAATTTTCTAATGTTTTATGATCATTAAATAATGGTCAATTTATCCAGCAACGAATGATGGTACGTCTCTAAAATTAAATTCATGAGGTCTCCAAGGCTCCTGTAACGCGTTTGTCAACCAAGAGTCCAGTGGCGTCAAATGCTTTTTTACCCAACCTACTTGTATTTTTACTTTTTCTAATCCATTCTTCACAATGTCGTCTACAGAGGCAAAGTGCCGCTTGTTCTTTTGATAAAATTCTGTAGCCTACATTATTAGATAAAAAAATATTAATATTCTCAGCTTGATTTTAATATAAAATTTTAGAAAACCTGCCTTGTTTAGACCATCTTCAGTTCTAAAATGACTGAAAGACGTTTTTACAAAATATTCCCAAACGTTTTTCTCCAGCCTTATAGTAAGAAAATAAACATAAAATTTAATGTTTTTTTTATAATATAATTAGATTTAACAAAATTGTACTAACTTAGTACTTAAATACTCAAAGTTTTTGACTAAAAACTTAAACATAGTTTCATGTCCAAGAGATACCGTGCTCATTACAGTTAACATTGTAAGCATATCTTCTTCACTAAATTTTCGATCTTCACTCATCAATGTTAAATTCAACATTCTACGTAAAAATATTCAAACTTGTAACTATACTGAGTGGTTCACGATGTTTTGACAAATCTACTAACTTTTGATCCAATTACTATTTTATGTTACTTTTTCAAAATAATTTATGCATTTTTAGATTACAATAAATGCATATTTTTAATTATTCATTTTTAATAATAAAAAAATTAAAGTTAATTTTTTATAATTTCAAAATGGCCATATTTTAGTCTTTTTCTTTCAAAAAAAAAAAAATTGTGGATTGATAACAATTTTAGAATAAGGACTCATTCAGTTACAGGCACATTAATACATAGAGTCGGTATGTATTGAAATGCCTGTAATTCAACAAATACAAAAAATTATAATTTTAACATAATATAAACTGTCAAAAGAAATTTTTTTTAAGTAACGCAATATATTTTCTGAGTCAAAAGTCATAAGATTTGTCTATTAAAACATCAAATTAATAAACTATAGTACCTAACAAACTTAGTTTCATTTTTAGGACAACTTGCTAATGATCTGAAAATAAACAATCGCTCTGTTTGTGATTTATTTTTTGGATAATACATAATCCTATGCAGTCCGAATTCCCATTCATCTAATGTGCCATATCCAAGTAGAATACATAAATAATTTTCCAAAAATCTGCATTATAACATGAAAGTGTTAAACATTTATAATTTATGAAAAAGCTATGACTTACACAAATAACGTACAGTTTATCTTCGTCGGGGTTGGATGTATTAGTCCTAGATTGCATTTCTCGAGCTTCCATCAAACATGTTGTATGACCAGTCTCGCACAACAATCGCTTATTTTCAGCTCGAAATTGGGATTTCCAGCTTGACTCTCCTCTTTCAGGTTGTTCTAATGCAGCGTTTACTGATTTCAGCATTTTTTTCAAATATAGCTATGAAAAAACATCTGTCAACAAAAATATGCTATCGAAAAATAAAATGCCTTCCTTACATCATACTTAGGTGCAACCGGTGTTCCTTGGAATTTGCTTCTTAATCTAGTAGCTAAACCTAGGTATGTCTTCCATACAGCAGGTTCAGATTCTTGTTCTATTAATTTACTCACGTTGAATGCATAAACGTAGCATAATCGACCGGACAAAGCTAATGACAAAGAATCGTGGAGTAATTGCAAACGAACATTCACTGGAAACCGTTTTGAATGCTGTGCTATCATTTCCCAATTTTTGAGATCGTAATTAACAATAAAAGGCCCTAAAAAATGTTAATGTAGAATCATAAAAAAAACTTTAATTCAAATAAAATAAAAATAAGGTTTAATGATATTTATATTTTTTACCTATACTGCCAGGATTGTATAAAAGAAATTGATTATTAGTAAAGTTATACTGCTTAAAATCCACTTCTTGACTTGATATAGGTCTTAACCAAGTAATATTTGTTGTGGATACAGTTAAATTATTCTGTGATACAACAATATTAGGAATCCACCACGAATAACTTTTTGTTACTATTGCCGGAGTTGAAACGTCATCTTCATCGTCATTCAATACAAATGGCTCCTGAAAAATATAAACAAATATTTAAAACTAATTAATAATAAAAAAACTATGTAATACATTTTCTTCATACTATAGTGAGTTGAGTATTTATCTCCAAAAAATACATATATGAACGAATAGAAGAATTATGATTTTAATAATTTTTTATATTCAGGGGGGGCAGCTTTAAGTTTCGTCTGAGGGGGGAGGGTAATTTTTCTTTCATAAGAATTTTAAACAGAAAAAGATAAAAGATATCTTAAATGTATTATATTACAATGTATACTAGAAATTTTAGAGAATACGGCCCTAGTAGCCACTCCTAAAAGTCGCATTATAAAAGATTTTTAATTATCAACATGTTATATAGATTCTTTCAATTTTTATCTCATTTAGATCGAATACCTTCAATAAATATCAAGAATACCATTACTGTAGTCTCTCCTCGTGAGAAGAAATTTCTTATTCATATTAAAAGTATCTTACTATGTAGTTTTTATTTTGTGTCATACATTTTTCTCAAGTCTCACTTGATAATTATTATCTATGATACGTCAAACTAGTATCTAGTTCAGATTTTATCCTCAAAATTTGAAATAAATCTACTCTATCAAATAAATAGTTGCTTAACTAGCGTTCTCCATACAGGCAATCAAAATTATTCATTTCTAATATTTTTAAAGTATTTATTGTCGAATTAGGTTTGATATGATGATAGGTTTTAACTACAAAATTTAATTATTTTGTAAAAAAGAAAAATAATTATACTTTTTAATTTATTAATTTTTTTACTATATTTGTATATGCTACTATCAGTATATATTAGTGATGGGAAATATCGAATATTCGATGGTTACACAATATATTCGAATAGTTTTTAAACTATTCGATATTCTATTCAAATATTTTTTAAAACTATTCGATAGTCTATTCGAATATTTTTTAAAACTATTCGATATTTTATGCTAAAAATAAACTATTGGGTTGTATAAAAATAATTCGAATAGTTATTCGATAGTTTTAAAAAAATATCGAATACCATTCGATAGTTTAAAATATTCGAAAATGCCCATCACTAGTATATATTATTCAACATTTTTTGTTAACATGTTGCTATATAAATCACCTGTAAAAATGATTTTTAGTTTCATCTGAATTTTAAATGGATTTTTACAATTATAATCAATTTTTATCATACGCTCGATTAAGTAGATTTTTATAACAACTTTTTTTTTGATTGGTTATTTTAGTTAAAGTAAATCATTAAAATTAATTCACTTCTGCATATTTCAATTGTAGAATCTTTTTAAACACCAAAAGTTAATTATTAATGATTACTATTATTTCTATTACGATAAAAATCCAAAAAAATATTTTTCTCATACATTTCCTGTAAATAGTAATTATAATATTTACTGACTGCGTATTAATCTTAACAATACCATTTTTTTCTAATTAATTATGTCAATTTCAAACTTGCAAGTTTTTTTTAATTGATTGGTTTTTTAGTTAAAGTAAATCTATAAAAAAATTTTACAATTGAAATATTTAAGACTTATTTTTAATAAAAATAAACTTGTTTTAATATAAACTTTCTCAAAAATAAATTTTAAAGGATTAAAAAATAGGTTAAAATTGACATTTTATACTGATTATTTTTAAAGCATTAAAAATCAAATCTTATTATATAATAGAACAAGGAAAAAAACGCTTTTCTGGGAAAATTACTTAGCGTGCTCGGATTTTCAAAATCTTTTTTTTCAACGAAAGTACTCGGTCACCAGACTCCGGGAAAATTATTGGCGAAGGTCGGAAAATTTTTGCCGCTCGCCCGCGAGCGTTTTAAAATTTCGACCGTTTTCGAGAAAAACGCTCGCTGACGCCAGCGTTTTACGACTTAAGGTTTGAAATTTTCATCAGACCCGCCCAATGACATTCCTGAGATATGATAAAAAAATCAATTCAATCCGTTCATTTTTCACCGTTTTACGAGCTTTTTTTTTTTTTTTTAAGTCCACGCGCATGGTTGTATTATGCGCAGTGATTCTTTTCTGCTGATACGTTTATTATGAACCTTAATTATATGGTGTATTATGTATTATTATTAGGACACTATTTTGCATTTGCCTTATATTTTCAAGGAATGTTATATGTTATATATAAATTTCATGACGTTATAATTATTTAAGTTTTTTACTTTCATTATAAGAACAGTACTAAGTACAGAGTTAATAGTTTTCTTTTTTCTCATATATGATGTATGAGACTATGAGTTTATCTTTTGAATTGGGATTCATCTATGATAACTATGATGTTAATCGTTAAATCGCAGTTACCAATATATTTATCAAAATTAAATTTTTATTTTTATTTTTAATATTAATTTTATTTTAATATTAATTTTATTTTAAATTGACAGTGTGCCACTTATAATAACCTGCTAAATTTTTTTTAATTATTCTAAAATATAAACACAATTATTATATTTAGATTATTAATAATTTTTGTGTATAACAGGGGTGTATTTCAGAGAGATTGGCCCCTCCTTGAACAAGCACTATCAATATTTTTTTAGGCAACTTCTAATAAATAAGGACCTGATGTCCTTTTTTTTCATCATTACTTTAATTTTTGCAAAAAAATTTCTATAACATGTTTAACAAAGTAAAAAATATTAAATTTCCTCCTAAAATAATTTTTGAATAGGCCTAAAGGGAATACCTCATTAAGAGGCTTCAACCTTATACCCAATACATTTTACTATATTCTCTTTTTGAATTTTCCTGATTTTAATAATAACATTTTTAGATATAGTTTTCTACAGTTTTCACTGATTCTGAAGTAATAGTTTTTCTGAAAAACACTTATCGTGACCGGCGTAGCCGGGTACTTCTACCGGAATCAGTGGCCTACTTATGATGACGGCCCGAAGAGGCTTACGCGCCGAAGGCGCGTAAGGCTCGAAGGGCCCCGGGTCTGGGGCGGATCCCCAGCTAGGCGGAGCCTAGTGCAGTAATAATTTAAAACAATTTTTTTTTATGTTTTTAATTTTTTTTTATATGTAAATACTCATTTTTTAATAATTAGTAATAATATCAAAACTTAGAAGTGATAGAAAAAATCTAATTTCAGATTTGAAACACAGTGCGAAAAGTTGATTTAGAATAGTATATTTTTGATTCCGATAATAGTTCCTTGTAGGTCATTGTATTTATTCATATATAAAAAAATTTTTTTTTATAAAATATTAGATCAAGCTTTTTAATTATTATACATGTTTGTCATAGCAGTAACGATATAAACTACTCTATCATTTTTTATTATTTCCTCGTAAAAATTACAATATTAAATTATTAAGTATTAATTTCAAACTAAATTTAATTGCTATAATAAATATTTATTAATAAATTATACTTTTTAATCTAAGAAATACTAATTAGGATATAATTAAAAGAAAATAGGAGTTAATGTTGCTTTTATAATTATGTTTCAATTTCTTAAAATTAAACACTATAGATTTGCATCGAAGCGTTTCTTATGATAGTGATTTTAATCACTGTCAGATATCATCTATACTTGTCCCCAAAATCCTACGTCCATACTATGGCGCGACCCCAATATGCTACCATTTGTCTGACCATAAAAATTCTCAGCTCTTACTACACTAATTTTATTAATCAAAACGTCAAAAGAACCCGACTTTAACCTAGTTGAACCTAATAATCAAACATAGAAATTTATATATTGATTAGAAGGATTTTGTTATTATTTAGTCCATATTTAAAACTATACCTTTGTTTTAAACAAAGTCAACGAAAATTGGATTGGGTTTTCAATGACTTGTTTTTTTTTTGGTGATCTAGTGAAACTAGGAAATTTTAGTTTACCAGTTAGACAAGAATATTGGTTGGTCGTAATAATCATTTACATTGATAAAATGACTGGCTTACCGATATAAAATATAATTGTTACTACTATTGATTTAAATCAATAAGAAATTCTTAACACTATCTATACTGTTTAGGATTTTTTCCTTGTTATTACTATTAATTGGTCATTTAAAATGCTTATATTATTATCATTTAAGTTTAATAATTTTGGAATATTATTCCTCTATAAACCCGACTGGTCAAGTTTTATGATCATTATCCGGAAAGGTTCCTAAAATTTAATATTAGCTTAGGCCATATCTTAGTTGTACCGGGCGTAGTTTCACCTATGATATTATCCTCTGATGTATAATTGAATTTCATTCTAAATGAGATGCTTTTGGTTATTTTTAAATAATTAATAATATTTCAATTGTAGATTTTTAACACCAAGAATTACATAAATTTCTTACAAAGATTTCTATTGAAATGATTTATCATGATAAAAATGCAAAAAAAAATGATTCATAAAAATTTTTGAGATATTCTCATAAATATACTATAAACAATAATTATAAAATTTTATGACTTCATATTAATCATAACAATAACACTTTTTAAATTCTCACAAAATTTCTTATTAAAAATATCAATACCAAAATTGCGAGATGTGCTAAAAATAAGTTTTGGTAAAAAATTAATCTTTTTTTAATTATAAATTTTTGTAAAAATTAACTTTGAAGGACCAAAGAAAAATAGGTTAAACATAACATTTTGAATTGATTTTTACACGTATTATTTTTAACATATTAAAAATCAGTCAAAATTTTAAAAAAAAAATAATTTTTTTGTTTTTAATTTTTATTTTATATATATAAATACTAGTTTCTAATATATTATTAGGTAAAAATAGAGAATTCCATAAAAAAAAATATAGGTTAAGACTTTTAGCTTCGATGCGAAGCTGAGAAGGTATTTTTTTACTATGATGTGTTTTTTTTTTTTTTT